CAAAACATGTAATTTTACATTTAATAAGCCACTATGAATACGATTTTGCCATAAATGTGTAGAGCAACTTTAATCCATACTCATGTAAAAGTATAACTATAACATACAAGTTACTTCAATGAAATAGTGACTCAACCTGAAGCCTAGTCTAGCAAAACACAGCTCAGTAAGAACCTCCAAAAGCCATAAGAACTTCAAGTATAATTGAATTGCTATATGTTTAACATTTAGCAGTTTGTTAGGTGCTGTTTTCTTTTAAGATCCTTTTGGTCCAACAAAAAAGTCCAAAGTGAAAAGTGTAGCAGTAAAGCTGTAAAGTCCAGGAGCTGAACCAACACAACAGAATAAAAAAAGGAATTAATATTTCACTATGAAGTCAAACTGAATAAAAAGTAGATTGTTTTTCAAAAAAACAAGTTGGCTAGACAATCAGTACAGAGTTACATTACATGCAGTTTACTTTGAGACAACTTACCATTAAAGTCCTTCATCTTCAGAGAAAAATAATAAAAATCTATAAAATGTTTTGTGGGAATCAAATCCTGAGTGCTCAAGCTCTCTAACGCTGTGCTGCATCACCGTATTTCTGGACAATTTGATATATAAAAATCATGTATAAAAACAGAGTGAGCACTTTGATGGAAGTGTGACGGTACCAGTACAATGATCTACAAAAGGTTAAACTCAATAAAGCGCTGATAATGAGCAGATTAGTTGGATCAGGTGTGCTGGGAGTGGCGAAAAAGTGCAGGACAGTGAGCTTCCAGGACAGAGGCAGAGCAACACTGGCCTAGTTTAGAGGCTGAAATTAAGTCAGAGTCCTGCCCTGCACTAAGGCTTCATCCTTTTGATGTTGGATATAGACGATGCAATTTGTTTTGAATGTTTTCAAGAGATAGGACAGGGGTCCACTGTGACTGCTGTAGCACAGAGCTCAGAAATATGCTAGATAGGATGTCTCATGGAAGAGAGGGATGATGGAGAAGATTGTTCAAAACTTTTGGGTTGAAAGTGTCATTCTGCAGCATTAGGAGTAAACTGAGCATAGATACATGAAATAAAGAAAGCAGAAAGCAGAATAGTCGTGTCTACATTACATTTTAAAGTGAATTCAGCATTTCATTTTTACAATGCAAATCCTCATATACTGTTTTTCAGTAAAGAGGTTAAACGGGATGAAAACAACATAATAGAGTTTTTGTTTTTCATTTTGGCACATATTCTGCATCCCACTATGGAACAGTAATGTCATGTGTTCACTGCATTTTATGTTTTTCTCTTTTATTGACTGCAATTCAATTTCTCCTGAATCCCTCTCCCCGTTTATGCAAACTCCTTCATCCTGAAATTAAAATGATGGGTTTTGGCGAAGAGCTTGTCCTCTTTGAAATGTGCCGAGAGTCAATACGAAAGCTGTTGTTCTACAATACCAGTTCCTGGATCAGTGTTTTTTGGATGAATATAAATATTGATTTATGCTTATCAATGTCTTTGTTATGAATGATTATTTTATGTGGATGGTGTTGATGCAGTGGTTCACCTGCTCTTCATTTTGTATTTTGAGAGTCTCCTGTTAGTGTTTGTGTTTCCAGGTGATGATGAGTCTTGAGGGAGGAGAGTTTACCTGATGGTCAAGTCTGTCAAGGACTGGCTGCCCCCACCTCTATCTGACTGGTCCAGCACTTTCTGGGCTTTGCCAACTTCTTTTTTTTTTTGTCTGGAACTTCAGTGTGTTTGCTGCTCCTCTCACTGCCCTCACCAAAAAAAAACGCTGGGCAGTTTCAATAGAAGCTCAGAAAAAAGCTTGAACTTCAGCATCAGTCCTGCAGCTCCATGACTCTGGGCTTCCTTTGGTTTTTGGGGGTGTAGGAGTCAAACTTTCTCAACATTCCAGTCCTGACATTAAGCTTAACCCCTATGCCTTCTGTCCTCTGTGGCATGGATTGTAGCTCCACTGTGACTGGAGGCCGCCAGTCAAGCAGTACTGCTGCAAGAGCATAACCTAGGAGGAGGTCCCCTGGGTAGACTCTATGTTCCCACATTGATCCAGTTCCAGGTCCCTCAGTGGGGACACACTTCACTCTTCACAAGGCACCAAGGGTTGACTGGCACCCTGGAATTCTTAAAAAGGCATTTTTGGTGGCACAGAATGAACCACAATGTTCTGGGGTAAGTTGCTGCCTGCCAGGTCTGCACTGAGAGTAATAAACCCAGGACAAGACCAGGAAGCTTGCTCCATCCCCTGTCTACCCCAGGTCTGCACTGAAAAAGGGACAGAATTAAACAGTGCAGTGCACTACATTTCAATAAGTGCTGTACAATACATTACAATAAATATTTAACTCAGTACTCACTTAAGTACTGTAAAAAGAGACGTGTTTTCAGTCTGCGTTTGAAGACTCTGCTGTTCGAACAGCCAGTGGGAGTTCGCTTCACCACCTGGGTGCCAGGACAGAGAAAAGTCTTGATGCTTGCCTTCCATGCATCTTGAAGGATGGCGGGTTAAGTCGAGCTGTATTTGAAGCTTGAAGGGCTCAAGGTACAGTTCGAGCTTTGACCACTGCCATTAGGTAGGGAGGGGCTGGTTCATTTTTGGCTTTGTATGCATCAGGGTTTTAAATCTGATACATGCAGCTACAGGATGCCAGTGAATGGAGAACAGCAGTGGAGTGACATGACTGAACTTAGGAAGATTGAAAACAAGCCATGTTGCTGCATTTTGGATGAGTTGGAGAGGCTTAATGGCCTGCATAGCAAGATCAGCCAAGAGTGAGTTGCAGTAGTCAAGCCTTGAGATGACAGATGACTAAATGAGCACCTGGTTGGCCTCTTGAGTTAGGAAGGGTTGAATCCTCCGAATGTTGTACAAGAGAAACCTGCATGACAGAGTTAGGTTTGTGATATGAGCTGAGAACGATAACTGGCCATCCAGAATCACACCAAGACTTCTTGCATCTTCAGATGGAACAATCAGAGAGTTCTCGAGATGGTAAGATCATGAGAAGGACCTGTAGTTGCTGGGATGAATAGCAGCTCAGTCTTGCTAAGATTGAGCTTCAGGTGCTGAGCTGCCATCCATGAAGAGATGTCAGTCAGAAACCTGGGTGTCAGAAGGTGAGAAGGAAAGCATTAGTTGAGTGTCATCAGCATAGCAGTGATAAGAGAAGCCATGAGAGGATATTACATCACCAAGAGAACTAGCGTAAAGAGAAAAGAGAAGAGGACCCAGCACCTTGTGGGACACCAGAGGAGAGCCTGCATGGAGAGGATGTGGACCCTCTCCATGTTATCTGATATGAGCGACCCTCCAGATAGGACTTGAACCACTTCCACACAGAGCCAGTGATTCCAAGGTGTCCAAGATGACAGATTAGTTGATCTTGCTGCCTGGAGCTTCTCAGTTGTTGCTATAAGGGCAGTTTCTGTTGAGTGCACCGGTTTGAAGCCAGACTGGTTGGGGTCCTGGAGCTGGTTATGAGTGAGAAAGAGAGAGACAGTTAATTATAGACTGCACGTTCAAGAATTTTTGAAAGGAAAAGAAAGGAGTGATACTGGTCTGTAGCTGTTGACATCAGAGCTATCAAGCATCGGCTTCTTCAGGATGGGAAGCACTCTTGCAGTCTTGAAAGTTGATGGAACTTGACCTGATGATGAGTTGTTTATGAGAAAAGTGACCTGGCCTCTGACTGAGGACCCCAGTTTGCCAGCTGTTTTTGGAAGACCTTCTGTCAACTGCTAGGGGCCTCGGTCAGCTTGTTCTCTGAGTTTTACCCTCAGTTCAATGACCAGACTGAGTGGGTTAATCAGGATCTCAAGTGGGCTCTCTGGTGCTTGACATCTGCCAACCCCTCCTTCTAGGCTGAGCACCTGCTCTGGCTGGAGTATGCCCATAACACATTGTGGCACTCATTGTTGGGCATGTTGCCATTCCAGTGCTAGTTTAGGTTTTCTTCTTCCGTGTTCTCTGAGCAGGAGGTGCAAAATAAGGTTTCCATGGCAGTACACCATGTTTGTCATTGCCCGAGTCTGGCGGAGGGCTTGTGCTGCACCCCAGGCTGCCTCCACCAGCTCAAAACAAGTTGTGGATTGCACATGGCAATTTGGACCTTCATTCTGCCCAGGTCAGTGGATCTGGCTCTCAACCAAAGACCTACCACTCCATCTTGAGGCTCTTAAGTTATGACCATGGTAAATAAACCCATTCACAATCCTCTAGTATATCATCCCAGTCTGGAACTCCTTTTTCTTTCTTTCTGTCTTTGTCTCTGTCTTTCTTATTCTCTTTCTCTTGAGCTCGGCCACCTGCAGTAACAAGGACAGCCACCAGAAGGAGGCACAGAGCTGCCATGTGGTAATCAAGGGTGATTTTGACACCTATGTCTACCCTTCGTAAGCTGAGCTCACTGACAGACTCAGACACAGCCCTGGAGTTCTGACAGCAGACTGCCTAGTACTTTTGATAAAGCCTTCTTCAGTTTACTTTTTCTCAAGCTCTTTTTCTGAAGCCTCTCTTTTGTGCATGTTCTGTGCTCAAACCTCTATCCTTGAAAAAAATCAAGCTCTGCTTTGGCACTCAATATTGAGCCAGTCATGAAGAATCCATTTGTGTTTTTCTCTGTACACAAAGTTAGCAGTATTTTATCTCCTGACGTCCTTAGTTTGTTGTTTGAATCTGGTAGCTCACTGGTAAGGTGTCAGTCTTTCACCTACAGAGTTGATGATTCAAATTCTCTTCCAGGCATCTTATGTTTCCATTCAGTAAACTATTCATTAATGATAGTTACAATACTTAAATCATCTCCTTTCCAGAGATGTCCCTGTCATTGTTGTATTTGTTAATTTGTTTAAGCTCTAGAGTAAACTTGCACCGGAGTCCATTCCTTGCTTTCAATTGGTGGCTTGTTGAGTTTATACTGACCCACCAAAAAGAAGCCCTGGATTCAGTTCCTATTCAAAGTGAGTCACCACATTACACTCGCTCTCACTCCGTCACGCTCGGGGGAGGGCTCAGTGTGTGTGTGTTTACGTGAACGCAGTGTTTATAGCTCTCACACACATATGAATGGATGTTGACAGGACATTCTGCTGAAGATCATTCTCCTGTGCAGTTCAACAGGTTTTGAGGAAAAGGTAATTTTTCACATTTTACAAAATTTCTCCATAATTTAGTGTTTGAGATTATTCAGAGTGGTTTGGTGTGAAATAGTTGATTTGTAGAGACTCAGACTTCTTTACAGTTGTGGTGATAGGAACCACACTGTAAAAAATGGCTCGTCAGATCAACCTAAAAAATTACTAGTTTTTAACTAATTAACTAGTTTTATTCAACTCAAAAAATTGCTCTGATTAAAAGAATTGTTCAAATTATTTATTTAGGTTGAATAAAACTAGTTAATTTATTTGTTACCATATGAAGTAACACACATATAGACATTTAATGCATGCACAGCGTTGTGAGGCAAAATGGTCCACCCAGAAAACTAACTATGATCTGATTTTCCACTATTTTACCATCATGTACATTCCATACAAACACTCAAACAACACATGTAAGTTCACTTGTGGTTTTGGATAGTAAATAAAACGGCTATTTTTGAATGACTCTGTTTACATCTCAAACACTAATTTATTATTCGACCAAACTTTTGCATAAGAGTGTACAAAACAGAAAATAAAAACTACATTAAAATTCATTTACAAGCAAAGTTCATTGTTTTTTATCTGGATCTCAGGTGAAATCAGCTCTCAGGTGAAATCAGCTGTTCATGAAGATGGTGCAGTCTATCTCCAGTGAGTAGATTCAAATACAGATGTTTTTCCTTCTCCTCTAAAGTTACCATTCATGTGTTCAGTAACTCGAGTCTGTTTTATTTGTGAAAAGTCTTAAATCTCTCTTTGAGAGATCTTCAACCTCTAAATCATGTAGTGCTTGTACCCCCCTCAAAAAAAAACACTGGAAGTCCACAGAATTCACATTCTGCTTCCTTTTCTGACAAAAGCAAAGCTGGAATTTATTGTCTTGGTTGCAGACAATTTTAATACACACAAATTAGCCTTTTTACACCCATCTCTCAAAAGTTATGGATGAAAGAAATTAAAATGTGCACAAAAATCAGCTTGCTCACTTTTCATGTCTTGGAACTTGTCTGAGTTGTTTCATGGGTCAAAATAGGCATAAATCTTTTATACATCACTATTGCCCAACCTCTCTTTATGCCTTAGAATTAAACTGTAATTAGGCTGTATTAGTTACCTTTAAGATAAAAATATGTAACTGAGCTCTGTTTCAGTCGGCTCCCCTGAGATGTGCCTCATGCAAAAAAGCATGAAAAGACAGGGCTAAACCGCTGGAGGCTGAATAGGTGGAAATATGTAAATGAGTTGTGGATGGCTTTTCAAAACTGTATGAGGCTGTTTTTTAAAGCTTAATTTCCATTTATGGATTGGACTGGAGAGCGAAAGGTACATTTTTATCTAGTGTTTGCTAATAGTGCTTACATATTTACTGAAACTTGCAAAACTTGTTTTTCCATGATATGGACCTCAGTTACATTCATGATGCAACCATTTAAAAACCTCAACAGGAAAGTTTGACACTGTATAAATCTTTTGCACATGCCTTTACTGACTAATGCTGTCTCTGATCTCCTGTTTGACATAATTTGGGAAAATGTTGCTTTCTACTATTCTCAGCTTTTTCAATGTGTATACAGAACAAATGTTTATGAATATCTCAGGTGAAATCTTTTTTTTGTTGTTTCTTGGTGGAGGGTTGTATGCAGTAGACTGCCTTGGAACACACTTCCCATGTTTATAGTGTCTCTGGTAGACTGAGTGGATGTTTCACATCTGATCAACACTTGCCTACAAAACTCTTTTATTGATGCTCAGATCATTAGCTGATGATGACTGTTTGCTAAGTTACCAACTTAAGGTAGATGTAAATATGAGAGTATTTTTGTTTTGTGTTTTTGGCAATGAAAATGTGTCAACACATTTGCAAAATGACACTTCTGTTTTGCGAAGAAAGTGACAATGAAGATGAAGTTGATCCCTGTTTCTTTAAATGTGTTTGATTGATCAATCAGGAAAGCCAAGACCAGAACATGAGCACTGTGTTGCAGATTATGCAAGAACATAAACTGAAGCTCCACAGTGTTACTTCAGTAAGCCTGAGATACAGTTCTTTGGCTATACCATTTGCAAAGATGGAATTTAGCCAGATGTTAATAAAGTCAAGGTTATCACAGAAATGCCAAGCTCTGCCAACATTACTGAACTATACCAAACCCTAGGCATGGTGAACTATTCGAGCAAATTCCTGCCCAAAATTCCTACCCCATCACAGAAATGTTAAAGAAGGATATACCTGGGCAACAACCACAGAAAAAAACATATAAATAGGTGATGTCTATGCTTGCTTTGGCACCAGGGTTATCATTTTATGACATCTGCATGGATAGCTTTGTTCTAAGGGGCATAGAAAGCTTCGTTCTACAAACCAAAAACCACTTGTGAAATGAAGCTATTTCGTGATTTTTCCACTGACAATACAGAATAAAAGACGAGAATACACAGAACGCTACAGCACCAAAAAGACTCCAGTCATACCATCTACAGCACATTGACTATCAATCTGAAGAACCATTTCACTATGCAAAGAGCTCTTTAATCATGCAAATCTGTGTGTGTGTGTGTTTCTAGTTCTATACAGAACCACTGTCTTTACTAAAGGATCTTTGAAGAACTATCTGTTTTTAAGAGTGAACTACCGCACATAGGGGACGGGCATATTTAACTATGAGCGAATCAGAAACTGCTAATTTAAATGATAACTCTATGCAAATCAGAAAATGGGACAATCAAGTTCTCTCATACACTCTATCAAGAACGCCTTAGAGTTTAATAGTGAGTGTGAGAGAGTTTGATAGTGAGTGTGAGAGTTTGATAGTGTGTGTGTGAGAGGTTTGATGGTGAGTGTGAGAGTTTCATAGTGAGTGTGAGAGGTTTCATTGTGATTGAGAGGTTTGAGAGGTTTCATGGTGAGTATGAGGGTTTGATGGTGAGTATGAGGGTTTGATGGTGAGTGTGAGAGTTTGATAGCGAGTGTGAGAGTTCTGATAGTGACTGTGAGGGGTTTGATGGTTAGTGTGAGAGGGTTTGATGGTGAGTGTGAGAGGGTTTGATAGTATGAGAGGTTTCATGGTGAGTGAGAGGTTTGAGTGTGAGAGGTTTGATGGTGAGTGTGAGGGTTTGATGGTGAGTGTAAGAGTTTGATAGTGTGAGTGAGGTTTGATGGTGAGTGTGAGAGTTTGAGAGTGAATGTGAGAGGGTTTGATAATGAGTGTGAGAGGTTTGATGGTCAGTGTGAGAGTTTGATAGTGAGTATGAGAGGGTTTGATAGCAAGTGTGAGAGGGTTTGATAGTGAGTGTGAGAGGTTGATAGTGAGTGTCAGAGGGTTTGATAGTGTGTGTGTGAGAGGTTTAATGGTAAGTGTGAGAGAGTTTGATAGTGAGTATGAGAGGGTTTGATAGCAAATGTGAGAGGGTTTGATGGTGAATGTGAGAGGTTTGATAGTGAGTGTGAGAGGTTTCATGGTGAGTGAGAGGTTTGAGTGTGAGAGGTTTGATGGTGAGTATGAGGGTTTGATGGTGAGTGTGAGAGTTTGATAGCGAGTGTGAGAGGTTTGATAGTGACTGTGAGGGGTTTGATGGTGAGTGTGAGAGGGTTTGATATTGAGTGTGAGAGGTTTCATGGTGAGTGAGAGGTTTGAGTGTGAGAGGTTTGATGGTGAGTGTGGGAGTTTGAGAGTGAGTGTAAGAGGGTTTGATAGTGAGTGTGCGAGGTTTGATAGTGTGCGAGAGAGGTTTGAGGGTGAGTGTGAGAGTTTGATAGTGAGTGTGAGAGTGTTTGATAGCAAGTGTGAGAGGGTTTGATAGTGAGTGTGTGAGGTTTGATAGTGTGTGAGAGAGGTTTGAGGGTGAGTGTGAGAGTTTGATAGTGAGTGTGAGAGTGTTTGATAGCAAGTGTGAGAGGGTTTGATGGTGAGTGTGAGAGGTTTGATAGTGAGTGTGAGTGGTTTGATAGCAAGTGAGAGAGGTTAGTTAGACAACTAGTGGTCATGGACACCTTGTTGAGGAATCTCCTGCAGCATATAGGACACAGAAGAAGTTGCTGCACATGTGCGAGCAGTCACAAAATCTCTGCAGACCAACCTTCAGAGAGGTTGGAATGCATTAGGAGTGCAACTGCAATTCAGAGCGTACTTGCACACATCAGGAGTAGCTGGCCTGAGAAGATTGTTCACTCCATACCCTACTATACAGGAAAGGTCCATCTCTTAGAATATTAGAGTATTGTGTTACATCAAGACGGGTTAGTGATTTCAGCATCCCAACAAGGACGAGGTTCTGCAGTAAATTCATGATGGTCACCAGGGGCTGACCAAATGCAGAGAAAGAGCTGGAATATCGGTATGGAGGCCAGGACTCAGCAATGACATTGCAAGAAGGGTTTCTTCTTGTGAATTCTGTGCAGAGGACAAGCCAGCTCAGAGAAGGGAGCCCGGCTGCCCAGCATCAGTAGCCAGCAAGTCACCGCTAGACTCAAAAGCATGTTTGCAAGACAGGACATTCCTCTTAAGCTTGTGAGTGACAGCAGAACACAGTTTGTCTCTGTTTGTCTCTGTTCTGGGACAAATATGGCTTCACGCACCTAGCCCCCATTACTCTCAATCAAATGGTGCGGCTGAGAAAGCCATCCAAGCCTTGAAAGACATTCTGAAACAACTTGATCCACACCTAGCATTTATGTGTTACCGATAGGGGTGCGGGATAAACTCGATTCTTAGATGCATCGCGATGCGGACGTGAATGATTCTGAATCGATTCACAAATGTCAAAAATCGATTTTCTAAATATTTCATTTATAACGTAATGTTGATGGAACGCAAAAGGCGGAACTGGAAGTGCGGAAGTGCAGCGCCCAGAAAGTCTGTGGCGGCACATAACAAAAACACAAGTGGATGAGCAAGAAATCCGACCAGCTCCCTCTGTATTAAAAGCCAGGTTAGACCCCCCCCCATGGAGATTAAAAAATATAGGAGCGAATTCTCACTAATCAAAAGCACATTAGGAAAAAAGTTAGTTTCATGTGAGAAATACAGTCTGCAGGGTGAATTTGGGGAAATATCTGTCTGACTGCTGTTAAAATTCACAGATGACTATGGTGATGCAAGAAGATGACCAAAAACACATTCAACTAAAACCTGTTGAACTACATAAAAAAATTGTTACATTTTAATCTGCATTTTTTCACTACCTGATTGTTTTGGGGACTAAGCTGATGTTTATATGATTGCAGAAAATCTAATTTGCTAACTGTCTACTCTTCCATCTAGGAATCCATGTGAGGAAGTGGAAGCTGGAGACAGTGGCTTTATTCATTACTTGCACGTTGTGCTTGATCATCCTGGTGAGAACATATGTCCAGGACAAGAACCAAGAGGTCCAGGACAAGAGCCAGGAGGAGCCTGCGCTATCAGGATATGAACGGAATCTGGAAATCAACGCTGGGACGCCTCAAGCTTTCCCAAGTTTACCACCCAAATGTGAACAGAACTCATCTGCTTCCAACATCAGTGAATTTTCCTCCTTGCCTCAACACATTCAAGACTTCCTGTATTACAGACATTGTCGGCATTTCCCGATGTTGCTCAACATTCCTGACAAGTGTGGTGGCCCTGAGCGATCTTCAGACGTGTTTCTTTTGTTGGTTATCAAGAGTTCTCCACCCAATTACGAGAGACGGGAGGTCTTACGGAAAACATGGGCTGCTGAGAGGCTGCAGAACGGCGTTTGGATTCGTACCGTGTTTATATCCGGGACTGTTGGACAGAGCTTTGAGAAGCAGAGGCTGAACAAACTCCTGGAAGTGGAGAACCGTGAACACAAGGACATTCTGCAGTGGGACTTTCATGATTCCTTCTTCAACCTCACACTCAAGCAGATCCTTTTTTTGGAATGGATGGAGAAATTTTGCCCCAATGCTCACTTCCTGCTCAATGGGGATGATGATATTTTCGCCAACACGGATAACATGGCGGTGTATCTCCAAGGGTTCGGTGATGATGGTGCCAATAAACACTTATTTGTTGGCCACCTAATCCAGTATGTTGGACCTATCAGGAATGCGGCCAGCAAATATTATGTCCCGGTCCAAGTGCAGGAATCTGATAGATATCCTCCCTATTGTGGCGGAGGAGGCTTCCTGCTTTCACGTTTTACTGCCAAGACCATCTACAATATGTCTCACTCCATCACTATTTTGCCCATAGATGATGTTTACATGGGAATGTGTCTGGAGAAAGCTGGGCTGAAACCCTCATCCCACATGGGCGTTCGGACAGCCGGCCTACACATTCCCTCCAAAAGGCTGGACCCTTATGACCCTTGCTATTACCGTGAAATTATCCTAGTCCACAGATTCCTGCCTCATCAAATTTACATCATGTGGCATGAAGTCCACCAGCAAGATCTGAAATGTGGAAAGACACTTACTGCTCATTAAAGCATGACCCTTGAAAGCTTTTGCATGAATGTATTTAACAGACACTTTTATCCACAGCAATTTGCATTATAGGATTTGCATGTGTACATACCTGGGCTGCATGATACAGACACAACATGTTTGATAAACACCTGTCCTCAGACTGGCTGGTTACTGTGCAAAAAAATATTGATATAATAGCTACTTCAGAACTTGTAGCACATTTTTGTGCCTGGTAGGGCTGGCAGCATTTCCCAAACAACGTTTCTTTTTTATAAAGGCTACAAAAACAAATACTGATAAATATATATGTAGTTCCTTATGATGATGTATGTTTTAACAGCAGTTATTACTGTTTTTTTCATACACAACACTCAGAGTGAGAACAGTCACAGTTGAAGCATTTTTACAGGTGAGTATGCAGCTGTAGTATGTACAGTACATGTGCTTCCTGAAAACCATGATTAACCCCTTACATTCTTAGCAGTAAAGGTTCCTAACAGCCACCTGGAAAACTAAAGCTTATTGTATTGTATCGTTCAAGATGAAGCTCTTGATTTGATAATGCAGGGCACAGAATAATACATTCATCAAATAAATTGTTCATCATTGGACTGTGCAAGTTATGTAAAATGCAGGGATTGTGTTGAGATTCTTTTTCCATGAGTGTGGGAACAATACTGTAGAATGTATGCAATATTGCCTAATGTTTTCATAAATGATGTATCATAAAACAATGGGCAATACTTTGCAAAGGACCGGTGGAAACAGTCTTTATAGGAGTCTGTGAATGAGGAACTGGTGAAACTGAATTCCGGTGAGGCTGATGTCTGAAACAGTTTGTGACAGTCACATAGTCTGAACTACAGAACCAGAGACACCCTTCTCAAAGTTTGCTCCAACTGAAATTGTTGCAAGAGGTTTGATAGCTTGTAATGCATTATAGAGGCAAGATATGATTTTATCTTTGCCAGCATAATCTTTGAGACAACTGGAGGATTAGCCAAACCCTACACCTGGTGAAGATATTTACAAAATCTACAAAAGGAATCTATATACAAAATATACAATAAGCTAACAGGTGTAAATGGGCTAGGCTAAATCAAGGCCAAAACAAAGCAGTTCAAAAGGCCAAACAGTCAGAGAATAATCAAAGAAATCAACAGGAATACAATGAACAAAAAGTGTTGGTGGAGCTCCAACTGGGAAGACAGAACAGAGGCACAGAGAGACCAGTAACAAAATATGGAGTGGAGTGTAACACCTCCTCCCAAAAATGTGAACCCAGGGTACCAGGGTTCAACACAACAAAGTAATTGACATCTTGATAAAAAAGTATGCAAGTACAAAAACATACTTCTGGAATACTCAGAGTGCAGTGTGAATTCTCCAGGTTGAGCATTAAGCATAGAAGCAACTTTAGGCAGAAACATCATACCAGCAAGGTAATTTCCTAGGATGAAGGAGAACCCATCTGCTGGCAGCTTAGGTCCAGCTGCAATATTAACAAAATCAGGCATTTTTACGTTGGAGTTTAGGGAAGACAGCAGTCAAATGACCAGAAAAGAGTCTGATGCATGCCGTAAAAATGATGTTTGCTTGCAGATGTTTTTGACATTTGTGTTCCACGTTCAGCAACTAATGTCTGTACTTTATGGCAACCTTGTAGACCTTGTGAGTGAGAGGCGACATACGGTGTTATGCTTTGGCCAACCCAGGCTTCTGAGACAGCGAAGACCAGCAGTGAACTTAAGGAATGGTTGTGGTCAGACACAGATCCTGTGGGTCCTCGCTCCCACACAGAGGATCCTCGCTTGGTGATGTATGTACTTTGGAGTTGGAAGCTGAGAAGGAGCTGGCATTAAAGAGGCTGAGCGCTGATGATTTGAAGCCTGTCCCTCTGAATGGGGTTCACCTGTGCCTTAGCCTTGGCAAGCTACATGTCCTGCAGCTACCTCTTCTGCTCCTGCTGGCAATTCCATGCCAATTGCACCTCTCTCTTCGCCTGCTCCAGAAAGCTCCTCTCCTTTAAGCAATCTTGGCTTTGATATTAGTCGCCGTATCGCCTTAGTACCTGTATTCAGGGAAAATGAGGTAGATGCATTCCCTGTTTTTGAGTGCATTGCTATTATGTTGAATTGGCCAAAAAGCGTGTGGTCACTTTTGCTGCAATGCAAGTAACTGGAGAAAGCTCAGGAGGTTTGTTCTGCCCTTACCTTAGAACAAAGCTCAAAGACCTGATTTTTCTGGAAGAATTTAGAAATTGTCTGTCTGACCCTTTAGTTGTGTGTTCAAAAAGGCAGAAAGTAAATCTCCTGCCTAGTGTGGCCACTTTGGCAGATGAGTTTGTGCTCACACACAAAACAGACTTTACTTCGCTTCTGTTATGCAGGAATTAAAGTACGCCCTTTACCTTCAAAAGCCTCAGTTAGTACCTCAAAATCAAGCATACACACCACTCCTACTCTTACAGGAACTCGTGAGTATTTAGTTGTTCAAAGGTAGCAAAGATCCCATCTAAATCAGGGACTAGGCCAAGAGGTGGTCAGGGGTGTCCAGTGCCACTCTAGCGTGACGTATGGCCACACTTCTGGCCACTCCAGTGAGACAGCTATCATCAATAAAGCATAAAGTTACCATAAAAACTCTGTGTGCAATCAAATGAGGCAACAGGGCAGCTACCGGTAAGTTAAGAGTCAAATAATGATGCATCAGCTTGTCATTTCTCTAATGGGCTACTTTCCTCACAAAACAAATGAGTCAACACTGGTCAAAACCTTAATTTTGGCCCTATTCATCATGCTTAAAGAAGCAACTTCCACCTCCACTGCTCAAATCGAGCATGCAGGCATCCAGTATAGGCACCAGCTTAGGCACACCACCATGACCGGGAGCCGCCTCCTTCCTTTCATGCTGGTTCAGCCGTCAGTGATGGACTTAATTTGGACAGTTGTCGCTTCCTAGTTGCCAGGTGTGCCGTCCTCAGTGTGAGGGAGCACTTCTGGATATAGCCATGTGGACACAGCTTCCTATTAGGTCGATGAGGGCAGTGAGCTGTTTCCCATCTTTGCCACGATCAACCCAAAGTCCACAGCAGCAGACAATCTTCCTGGCTGTCAAGCTCAGAGCTCACTTAAGGTTTATTTTTAGGGTTGTTGCTTTTCTCATGTTACCTCAATAAGAAACAACATAATATCAATGTTGATAACTATGCTGATGACACATTTCCATTCCTTCTTAAAATCAAGACTCTTTGGTACTAAAATTCAGAGAAAAATGCTTTATGAGCAGAGTTGATCACTGTAATGATCTTCTTACTGGAGAAAACAGTCCATCCTCTACAGCTCGTACAGAACGCAGCAGAACGGATCCTCACAGCATCACCAGAGAGAGCTCATATCACCCTGTTTACACACTGCACTGACTGCCTGGATCCTTTAGAGAGAGTTTAAAGCTCTGCTGCTGGTTTTTAAAGCTCTAAATGACCTTAAAGCTCCTGAATGTCTGTCTGTTTATGATCTTAGATCTGCAGATTCTGACCTTCTGAACACCTTCAGTAAAACACAGAAAACGTGGAGAAGCTCTTTCAGTTATTCTGCTTCTAAACTGTGGAGCTCAGTTCAGCTTTTATTAGACAGTCAAGCTCAGAGCTCACTTTTAGTAAACATTTAAAAACGTATCTCCTTAACTAATTAAAATTGTACGTCTTTTTGGTGTTTATCTTTTTAATCTAATCTGTGTTATAGTCTTATATGATAATAATACTGTTTTATTACTGTTAAGCTTTACCACATGTCTGTAAAGCACTCCCAGCTAAGATTGATATGAAAAGTTCTCTATAAAGAGAGATGTTCTTATTTGTATTCTTATTATGACTGTCATTTTTATTTTTATTTAAACTACAGAATTTGTCTGGGATAATTAAGCAAGAAACACACCTGGGTGAGAGTAGCTTACACTCCCAAAACCCAGTACTTACCAAAAATGCTCAAATGTTTGCATAATCATGAATACTTGAACATGCAACTGAAAGCCTTTAATTTCTGTTTCTGCTCTGCATGACATACAAGCTACATACTGAGTAACAGAAGAGAAACAAGGATAAAGAGGAGCAAAATTAATGAAGAACACTTAAAATGTGTTTGTAAGCACTGCTGCCTCACGTCTTTTCTCACTCACCATCTATGAACAGCTATCCTCACCTGTATAACCTGTATTACAGCATATCTTTGGCTGATTAAAGGGTTATTTGCATAATCAAAGAATCCATCAATCTAAAAACCCTTTCATGATGCAAAGAACCCTTTAATCATCCAGAGGGTTTGTTGACTTGTTCTATGTAGAACCATGAACATTTTCTTTACTAAAAAGCCCTTTAAGAACCATCTTTTTTGAGCATGTATAATAAGAACACAAACAGATCTTTGACCACTATTGCACAATCTATTGTGCTGTAGACTAACGCACACCAAACACTCAGCATTAAATATAACATTAAAAAAGGTGTTTGCTTTACTCATAGCAGCTTTCCAGCTTAATAAGATATGTTGACAGCAACACTTCAGGGAATCTGGAGAATGTTTAAGCTTCTTTTCTCACTCACCATCTATAATACAGCTATCCTCACCCCGTATTACAGCATATCTTTGGATGATTAAAGAGTTCTTTGCATAATCAAAGAATTCTTCAGATTGATGGAGAGTGTGCCAAAAGTGGTTCTGTATAAAACTATTTTTTGAAAAGAGTGCACCAGAAAGGGTTATTCTATTATTACAAGCTTGACATTGCAATAATAGAAGAACCTATTTGGTGCTATATCGAAACCTTTTTAAAAAGGTTCTATATAAAACCATATGAAACACATTCTCCATCAATCTGAAAAACCCTTTCATGATGCAAAGAACCCTTTAATCATCCAGAGAATTCTTTGATTGTTCATGGTTCTACATAGAAACATTTTATTTACCAAAGAGCCCTATTACATTAAAAGCGTTTAGTTACTCGTGGTAGCTCTCCAGCTTAATATGATGTCTTGACAGCAAAACTTCAAAACCTCAAGGAATCTGGAGAATGTTTAAGTTCCTGTTTTCTGCTCTGGGCACAAGCAAGTTTTTCAGAACTGGGACACATCCGGCTGTAAAAAGTAACGCTATCTAACTTCCACCTGCACCATTTAACAAAGCAGCAATGGAAGGTGGCCGGTTTTCAGCCTCCCTCAAAAATCTTCTTTCGGCCTCAGTGCAGTTAATAGGAGAGCTGTTGGTGTGTCTGGTAGTTCCTCCAACATGGACAGAAAGGCTAGCCTGACTTGGTCAAAACGCATCATGCGGTAAACGGAGCCCGGTAAACGGAGTGCGCTGTGGCAGACGACTGTGCCGCACATCCCATGTTTGAATGTGTATCTCCATGTCAAAACATCTGCGTTCAAACGGCGGAGTGTATTCTGCAAAAAAGCCGCATCTGAACCGTGAGGAAGTTTTACAAAGCGGAGAAGGAGTGAAGCGGATCGTTATGTTCAACACCACATCACACATCCCTAAACAGCTGGCTTACTGCGCTTCACTTTGGGGAAAATGTCCACCAGGTTTAATCATTTCTAACCACTATGTAAAAATGGACTTCCAGCACCGCTGTGAGTGGCAGCCTTTCCAGTAGCTGTCTTTTGTGTACTGTTTTTGCACTTTTTCCTTACTTTTTCTTTTTCTGTACGCTTATATTGCTATTTTAGTGACTGTTTTTGTGTGTACAAAGGACATGGAGGCTGTTTTCATGCGTACAGGCAGAAATAACTTTGTTTACACACGGGAAGAGCGACTAGCGCTCCAAACAAAGGGTCGCGCCAGCACAACGCACCCCATTCCGGAGGAGCTGCGGAGGAGCTATCGGGTGCAGAGCTGGAGCTAAGCTAAAGGCTAAGAGCATGGAGAAACGCTGGAGGTATAAACCATCTATTCCTTTGGTGGTAATGGGGAATGTAAACTCTTTGGCCAACAAGACAGACGAACTAGCGGCACTGGTTCGTAATCAGTGGTTATA